GAATTATGTTTTAAAGTATGTTTTATGTATAATAATTATAATTATTTACTATTATAAATATTGTACTATTAATTATAAATTAAACTTTAATCTACAATATTGTCTAAACTTTTCAACTATTATTTATAACTAGTTATAATTTGAAGTACACTAGGGGATAATATACCTACATATTATTCAAGCAAAGTTCACTAATCATCATAAAAATTATGTTTAACATATTTTTAATTTTTATAAAATTATAAAGTTTACTTTATATCTTTAAAAATTCTCTGTATCTTTCCGTTAGAATGTAAATATAGGAAATCATATATTATTATTTACTTTAATTTGTTTAAAGTAGGTTTGGCAGGTTTGCTTAGTCCTCATTTTTCTAACTTGGCAACCCTGACACTTAACTTAAATTGGTCTGTTGTGGTATCCATAATCCTTTCTTGAAATATTTTGTAAATGCAACAAATTGTAATAATCTTTGTAGAAAAATACTAACAACTTATGAAACATTCTTAACATAATAAAAAATTATTGTTGATATTCGTTTGGTGTTATATACTGCAGAATAGAAAAAGTGTCTGATGTTTTTCCCCTTCTCATCACAACAGCTTCTGTTTTAGTGCATGGATGTTACATCTATTTCTGAGATGCTATTCTGTTATGGTATCTATAGGGATTTTTTTGGCATTAAAATGAGCTTCTGTTTTATGTGCGATTTTGGCTAAAACTGACTTAAGTACTCAACATAAATTGTATTAAGTAAATAAATAAGAAAGCATTAGTATTAAAAATATATAGAAATAGACTGTTAATTCCTAATTTCAGTTGTATCCCGTGTTCTCTTCAGGTGTGGAGAACAGCTGCAATATCTGCGAATGTAGTTGTGTTTTTGTTTTTAAGAAATGGAAAGAGTTTTTTTATATTGTTAAAAATCTTTTTTGAATTATAATTAAAGAAATTCAATGGAAAATCATTGAATTAATAGTTTTTCTTTCAATATAGAAAAAAGTTAAAAATAATGTTCATTTTTTCTTGTCAATAGTGACGCGTCTTTATGTTGAAAAGGAACTATTTAAAAGTTAGACGGATATTTCCTAGGACCACGGATGATGAGTACTTGGCAATATTCCAAATTACAATAAATTAAATAAATTTTTGTTCTTGCTTTTTTTTTTTGCTATTCGAATCCGTCTAAATTTTAACTTTAAAGATCTATTTTTTTATATTTAATCTTTTTATATTAGTAATTTTATATATATAATTATGTATATTTTATACGTATTGTTACATACTCTTTTACTGTGACTATAATAGTTATTAAATGTTGTGACAATTAAAACTTAAATGTTTACAGAAGTACATACATTTTTTTTATTGAAAGTGAAATACTCGTATTCCATATGCCTTAAGAATGAGCTTTAATATATATTTTTCTTGTCATCCTGACATGAATTTAATTTCGATAAATGATGTTCTAAGATATAACATAATATGTAAACCAAAACATATTTATATATAATATGTATATATGTAAATATATGTAATGGTATTTTTTTCTAACTTTAAACCAATAAAATTTTTACAGTTATTACCTAATTATTTTTATTATAATACATTTTTAAAACTCATATGATATCGTTTTTAATTTTTTTTTATTAAAACTTAAACTGATTGAGATGTCTATAAATTTATATGATTTTATTAATAACTTTTCTTGCATTGTCATAATTTTGAAGTTAAGTCCTTAATGAGATTATCTGAAGCAAAAAACTATAAGTAAGAAAGCGCGTGTTCGGAGCAAATAATGGTGTGATTCTACTTCAAAACTGAAATGAAAAAATATTAAATTAAAATAAAATAAGGTTTCTAAAAATAAATTTATAAAGCATTTATAGCAATAGAATTTTATATTGATTTTTAAAATCTTTATTTTATTAATACCATATGCACTTTTTTTTAAGTTTTAAAACTTGCAAATATTCATTTCTAAAAAGTTATAATCACATATAATAATATTTATTTAAATTTATTTTATATATTTTAAATAATAATAATTATACATATATACATGTTTATATGTAAAGTAAGGTAGTATATAGGATGCAACGTAGGTCGAAACTAATAAGTGTAGCTAATATATAAATAAATAACATGTGGGTTAGCTCAGGTTATTAATGCGGGTTATAATGGGGCTATTAACTGGAGCAAACGTTACTCTAATTATTAAGTGAAAAAATAAAAATATAAATAATTTATTTCAAACATTTATAAAGTTGCATTTGTTGCTAAAAAGAGGGGATGTACTCAATCATTAAAATTAAATTAATTATTTGAAGTTTTTATGTTTATTGTTGAAGTTTACAGCTGTGTCAACGTTTTTGTTATTTTAAATAATTTTTATTGTGTGTATGAAGTCGTAAAACTTTGCTGCCTTTACGAACTTTTAATATTATTAATTTTTTTTGTATTAATACACTTTTTTTTACCAATTTATTTAACATAATAAGAACATTTGATACTGCGAAAACTACTATCTATCGTAGCAACTATGAAAATAATTTATATGAGTTTTTATTATAAATTCATTCGTAATTAAGCTATTTTATTTAAAATATTCAAATATTTATTACATATTTAATTATATATATTTTCTAAGTACAAAGGGATGCAGAATAGATCAAGCTGGTTGTATTGCATAGGGGCCTTAGCCTAACCCAAACTATTGACCATTCAACATTTATTATATATTTATTAATATTTATTAATATTTTAATAATAAAAGCATTAAACGAAAAAAAAGATACAAAATTTCATACATTTTTAGTTCTTTTATTGTTCAGTTTTCAATAAGTAAAGATATATTCAATACGAATGCTGGTTGGCTTTTTTCAGTACTTAGTACTGAGTCATTTAACTTGTCTCTTTTAAAAAGAATATAAGGTCTAAATAAATTAGGTAGGTATGTTATACCGGTGATTCCAAGGGATCTACTTAGGCTGTGTGTGTTACCGTATAATTAAAAGCTCAAGAGTTTGAACCATTTAGAACCTTTGGCAAAGCTTATAATGCTATTCAGGGGAAAATCTTGCAGTTCGCCGCTGAATAAAGTAACTTATTTATTATTTATATACATTTACTTTCAGGGACTGATCTTAGTGTATTAGACATTGAAACTTACAAGTTCAGCAACACAAATATATTTTAAAATATATATTTTATATATTAAATTCCATTGTAATGCCAATATTACAGAAGTGGCTCATGCAATAAATAATGCCTCCACAAAAGAATAGTATTAACATTTAACAATTAAAAATAAAAATATAATTAATTCAATTATTGTACAGCTGGGTTATGATTTCGTTCTGTTATAAACATAGCAAGTGAAATTGTTAATGAAACTTTCACAGCAAATTAAGAAAATTCTAGAAAAATGTGCGAATATAAAAGTCAAGTACGGTTTTGGATCAGTTGGTTAAGGCGCGCTGGCTCTGAGCTTCATATTTGACAGGGCATGAACACGATTCCTGGTACTTGCATGCTTAAAATATTATTTATGAATAATTAAATACAATAATTATTTCCAAGACCACTGATGACGGGTATTTGGTAATACTTGAAACAGCTGTATGACTCAATTAATTCAAATAATATAAAAAGAATTTTTTTTTGTTAGAAACTTCTATATATTTTATATAAATCAATTTTATTGGGTCTTTAATTATTTACAGGCAAATTTATATTTGCAATACTTTCGAATTATATTACCAATAAATGTCATTTGCAACAAGCTTTGAATTATTTTATTTCAATGAGAAGTACTGTAGATATGTTGCCTCACATACAAAATGAAATCGTTTAAGATACTATGGTTGATTAATAAAAACGTAAGGATCGTTTAATACTGGATTCTCACGAGAGTTTTGTTTGAAATTTTAGCTGTCAAAAATTTTAAATTTGCATTGAAAGCAACAACAATTGACAGCTAAAATTACAAACAAAACTCTCATGTGAATTCAGTATAAGACAATTGAGACTAGCACAATTGCCCATCTGAGCCGTTGTGTAATAATATATACCTATAGTAATAATTATTAATGAACTCGTATCACTATTAACAGTACTAATTCACAGTATACCAAACTATCATTAAAAAATAGTA